GCCCAGGAGTTGGAGGTTGCTGTGAGCTGTGATGCCATGGCACTCTACCCAGGGGGACAGCTTGAGGCTCTGTCTCAAAAAAAAAAAAAAGAAAAGTGGCATCTCATTAGTGGATAAAGATAGATTTTTAAATAAAAAATATTGTTACAACTGGCTAGCCATTTGGAAAAGGTGTAGTTAGATCCATATTTCACATACCTTATCAGAGTAAGTATAAACAAATCAAAGATTTAACTATAGAATATAAAATCATAAAAGAAATGAATGACATATGTGAATTCTCTTTATTCCTTTAGAATGGTCTTTTTTGTTATGTATCAAAATCAAGGAGCCAGATGTGGCTAGTGGGAGATCTGTCAAGACACAAAGCCTATGTCTTTGTGACATACCCCTTTTAGGCCGGTTATCTGGTGGTTCATTGTCATTAATAAATATCTGAACATTTACTTTTGATCAAATAGTAGTTCTTAAACTTTAGATAAGAATTCTTGGCAAGTTTATTAGAAATACAGGATTACCTGGCCAGGCGCAGTGGCTCATGCATGTAATCCTAGCACTCTGGGAGGCCAAGGAGAGTAGATTGCTTGAGCTCACGAGTTTGAGACCAGTCTGAGCAAGAGTGAGACCCTGTCTCTACTAAAAAATGGAGAAACTAGCTGGGCATCATCGTGGGCATTAGTAGTCCCAATTACTGAGGAGGCAAGAGAATCACTTGAGCCCAAGAGTTTGAGGTTGCTGTGAACTATGATACCACAGCGCTCTACCGAGGGTGACAGAATGAGATTGTCTTAAAAAACAAAACAAACAAAAAAAGAAATACAGATTACCAGATCTTACCTCCAGAGATTTTGGTTCTGAGAATGACTATAGTAATCTACGTTTTAAACATGCATGTCTGGTTCATGCAGCATATTTGGAGATATGCTTGTGGAACATTAAGCTCCTTGCTCCCAATAGTTGTAGAAAACAAATACCAAATATTCATTATCCTGAAATTAAGGATAGCAATGAATGGCAAATAGAGCTCATACTGTACTATTTGAGGTAGTCAGACATGCAAGATAATTCCATCCTTGAAGCCAGAGCTGAGATATTTGGAGATTTCTCTCCCTTGGACAACTTACATTTCCTCAGTCTTTACAGTATCTTTATTTGAAGATGGTTGTTCAGTTTCATTATCTGAAAAAAACAGTCTGATATAACTTAGAAAACTTGGCAAGTATTTTCTCATTGATTCAGAATTTATAAGTTGAAATTTCTAATAGTTTGAAGAAGGGCTTAAAAGGTAATTTGTTTGGTGTAATCTTTCAAGTAGACAGTATACTCATGTGGTTTAAAAGTAGAAAGTATGAGAAAGTATAGAGCAGAAATCTACCTGGTATTTTTGTATCAGTTCCCAATGTCCCCAATACCATCTTGCTTGAGTTTCTTTTTTCCCTTTTTTTTGTTTTTGTCTTTTTTCTCAGTCTGTCATCCTGTAGAGTGCTGTGGCATCATAGCTCACAGCAACCTCAAACTCTTGGGCTTGAGCAGTCCTCTTGCGTGAGCCTCCTGAGTAGTTGGGACTATGGGTGTGTGCCACTACACCTGGCTAGTTTTTCTATTTTTAGAGGAGACAGGGTCTTGCTCTTGCTCAGGCTGGTATTGAACTCCTGAGCTCAAGCAATCCACCTGTCTTGGCCTCCCAGAGTGCTAGGATTATAGCCATGAGCCATGGCGCCTGGCCTTGCTTAAGTTTCTTTCTTTCATTTTTTTTTGAGACAGTTTTACTTTGTCACTCCTTGTTAGAGTGCTGTGGTGTTACAGCTCATAGCAACCTTAAACTCTTGGGCTTAAGCAATTCTCTTGTCTCAGCCTCCCAGGTAGCTGGGACTACAGGCATCCACCACAATGCCGAGTTATTTTTAGAGGTCTTGCTCTGGCTCAGGCTGGTCTTGAACTCATGAGATCAGACAATCTACCTGCCTCGGCCTCCCAGAGTACTGGGATTACAGGTATGAGCAACTGAGCCTGGCCTTGAGTTTCTTTTATTCTTATGTAAGCAAATACAAATAAAAGTTCTTATTTTCCTTTTTATACAAAAGATAGCATATAGTATACATTTTGTGCTTTGCTTCTCTTTTATTTATTTATTCATTTATTTATTGCAGTTTTTGGCCAGGGCTGGGTTTGACCCTGCCACCTCCGGCATATGGGACTGGCGCCCTACCCTTTTGAGCCACAGGCACCGCTCCTGCTTCTCTTTTAATAATCTATTTTAAAGATCTTTATGTATTAGTACATAGAAACCATCTCTTTTTTATAGCCGCATAGAATTCCATTATGTGGATATACACGTATCATAGTTTATTTAACCAGGCCCTGTCAATAGACATTTGGGTTATTTCTAGTGAACGATCTTATATAGACCACTATGTGTCCATATAAGATTATCTGTAGGTTAATTTCCCTACAGTGAAATTGCTAAGTCAAAAGATATGTGTATTTATATATTTATGATTTTGATAGATATTGCCATGTTTGCCTCCATTGAAGTGTGTGAATACACGTACCCACCAGCAATAATTTCTCACAGCTTTACTAATAGTATGTGTCATCAAATTTTAGGAGTTTTAGGATTCTGTTACATGGTATAATAGTGTACTTTAAATATGCATTGCTCTTATTTTGAGTGACATTAAGGGTCTTTGTATATATTTTACTCACTGGTTTTATCCTTTAGGACTAAGTCTTACCAAAAAATCTTCTCTTCATAAGTAAACCTCCCAGTATGTAATGCCTTAGTAAGAATTCAGTGCACTCTTGGTTGAACTAAATTTAGTAGTTCTTTACTTTCTGGCATGACAGTATGTTCCAGTTTCGTCTTGCATCTACCTTGTCCCAGCCCTGGTTTCATGAGGAGCTCTGTTTGTTTTTTGTTTTTTGTTTTTTTTTCATTGGCAGTTATAATATAGAGAAAGGCCTGGAACTAGGTATGCTCCTTCTTACTGGAGTATATATATTTTTTGGCACTTTGTGGGACAGAGCTAGGAAATAAATATGTATATATATTTATGCACATACGTATATATACATGCACTTGTATATACATGTGACACATGTGCATATACATATTACATGTACATATTTTAGAAATCCTAAGTTCATACAGAGTGCTAATTCCTATTTTTCTCCACCAATTTCCTTCTACACTTCAATATCTGTATATTCCTTCTTCCTAAGTGAGAACTCTGATTTTCTACAACTTCCACACATGTACCTGTTTTGCTCAATTCTGTAATATAGCAGAAATAATCCAGAATGGTTTTACCCATTTAACTACAGTTAAATTGTAATTTCTTTTTCAAAAATAAAAAAAAACCAATTGATGTTTCTTTAAAAATGAGTCATAATTCAGGGTGGTACCTGTGGCTCAAAGGAGTAGGGTGCTGGCCACATATACCAGAAGTGAGGTGGTGGGTTCAAACCTGGCCTCGGCCCCCTCCCCCTCAAAAAATGAGTCATAACTCAAATGAATTTATTTGAATTAGATCTTTTTGTTCCATAAAGGATTCATTGGAGCAGCAGACTAAGAAGTCCCTCATATAAATATTAGAGCAATTCTTTTTAGAAATTCTATTATACTTAAGCCTTTATTTTTTTATTTTTATCTTTTAAAATTTTTATTTATTTATTTATTTATTTTTAGAGACAGTCTCACTTTGTCGCCCTTGGTAGAGTGCCATAGTGTCACAGCTTACAGCAACCTCCAGCTCTTGGGCTTAGGCAATTCTCTTGCCTCAGCCTCCCAAGTAGCTGGGACTACAGGTGCCTGCCACAATGCCCTGCTATTTTTTTGTTGCAGTTTGGCTGGGGCTGAGTTTGAACTTGTTACCCTCGGCCTGTGCCCTACTCACTGAGCCATAGGTGCCACCTATACTTAAGCCTTTAATGAGGGTACTATGTTAGAGTTTATCTGAGTGAAAGCAGGATATTTATTGGGTTTAAGTAATAAAAAAAATTGTTATTATATTGGTAGTTAACTAGTCTTTCTAGATATAACATTAAAAAATATTCAAGAGTGTACCAAAAAATGTATACACATACTAAGAAATACTATCTATGTATTACTTTTTGAAGTTGAATCAAAGGGCTGTTACCGGGTCAAGTGTACTAGACATGCTACGCACATCCATTTTACCTGCAATTCATTCACTTTTTGGGAATGATCCATTTTTCAACAAGAGCTCTTAAAATATATATATATATATTTTGGCACTCCCATATATTGTGTTCCATTCTCTAGTGAAGGATATTACCTTTGCCTAATATGTGTAATGTTCTAAAGGGAAAAATGAGCCCTTAATCTAAAACTTTGAATTTTCTTATAAAATCCTGTAGGAATAAATATGAATGCTTTTTCTTATGTATCATTTATACTAATGTTTCTGAATTCTAGTAATTGATCGTTTACACTTTTCTCCATTTTCTTTTAGGTGTAGGCATGGACCACCAAGCTCTTTTAAAACAATTTGATCACTTGAACCACATGAATCCTGACAAGTTTGAATCTACAGATTTAGATATGCTAATCAAAGCAGTAAGAATCATTCCAAAAACTGCTGTCTTTATTGTGCTTTTGAGGTTTTGTAATTTGACAAATAAACCCAATCAAATGGAAAGACAACTTTTATATATTTTCTAGAATATTTTTAAAGGGAAGCATCTTAACTCTTATTAGTATAGATATTAATATGGACATAAAGATCTCTTAGTCACAATGAGAAGATCAAAAAGTCTGTAAATATTGAAACCTGTCTTGAATTAGCCAGTTATATTAATGCTATTTATCGTTTTTATTTAGGCTGCTTAGTATGTGTGTTTATAGATTTCACTAAAATTTTTTGAGACAGACACTTGCTCTGTCACTGGAACTAGAGATAGTGGCCTTAGCCTAGCTCACAGCAACCTCAGACTCCTGGGCTCAAGTGATCCCCTGCCTCGGCCTTCCAAAGTACTATGAGTACTTGTGTGAGCCACCACACCTGGCCACTAAATACTAATCTGTTTGATTATAGACACAGCAGAATATGGCATATGTCTCATATTCTTTTTCTTAAATCTAGAAAATTTTGAAACACATCTGGCCTCAGGGATTTTAGATAATAGTTTATAGATCTCACATATTGTGTATGAATGGAGTTATCAAAATAGATGTTCTTATCTGCCTATTATTAGATTTGGTTAAATGATTAGAAATCATACTTGATTTGGCCAAGCATGGGGGCCCATGCCTATAATTCTAGCACTTTGAGAGAACAAGGTGGGAGAATCACTTGAAAGCAGGAGTTCAAGACCATCCTAGGGAATAGAGCAGGATCCACTAGCTACAAAAAATAAAAAAAATTAGCTGGGCATGGTGTTGATACATGCCTGTAGTCCTAGCTGCTTGGGAGGCTGAGGCAGAAGGATGACTTGAGCCTGGGAATTGGAGGTTGCAGTGAGCTATGACCATACCCCTGAACTCTAGTGTGGGTGACAGAGGGATACTCTGTCTCAAAAAAAAAAAAAAAATCATTCTAGTATTTTACACTGTACAGATTTGACATAGTCCCTTTATTATTAAAAATAAAAAAATCAATGTAGGTGTGTCACATGGTGGGAGAAGGAGCTCTAGCTCCTTATATTTTCCTTAAAAGTGATTATGAATTATAAATACAGAATTGGCATCATTTGGGCTTATCTGAAGCTTCATAAGAAAGAAGAAACCATTTTCTGCAGCATATTGATGCTTCATGTCAGTGCTAGCTTTGCAAACCATTTGTAAATAATTGTACTTTAAGGAGGAGTGGTGCCAACCTCTTTTGAGGAGCCAGTTCCTAGGTGAACTAATAGAGTGAGAACTCAGTCACTGTGTTATCGTGGGGAGGGCACCACGCCATTTATGAGGGATCCACTCTCATGACCCAAACACCTCTCACTAACCCCCACATCCAACACTGGAGAACAAATTTCAACATGAGGTTTGGAGGGGTCCAATATCCAAACTATATCAACATGTTACTTGCTTATGGGGAACTGTAAAATTGAAGCTGGCTTTGAACTTTTAGTTTCTTTGAGTACCTAAGTCTCTGGTAATAATAATGACTAAAATAAAATGATAGATTTAAAAAAAAAAGTCCAGTATGTTTTTGCCCTTCTATACTGCTACTTTTAGAGAGTAGACTATATTCCAGAGTGGCTTTATGTATACTTTTCAAACACATCTTTTTATTTAATTTAAATGCAATATTGCATTCTAGGCGACAAGTGATTTGGAACACTATGACAAGACTAGACATGAAGAATTTAAAAAATATGAAATGATGAAGGAACATGAAAGGAGAGAATATTTAAAAACCCTCAATGAAGAAAAGAGAAAAGAAGAAGAATCTAGATTTGAAGAAATGAAGAAAAAACATGAAAATCACCCCAAAGTTAATCATCCAGTAAGAATTGTGACTGTAAAACCATATTTAGATGAAGATACTTCTTTGTATCAAATAGCAGAATTTTATCATGTTATTAGTAATTAAATGCTGATCCTTAATTCTGCAGAATTTCTTGAATTTATATTTTGAGTTTCTATACATAGATTATATTTTGTTCTGAGCAGTTTTTAAAAATTGGTTCACAGGGAAGCAAAGATCAACTCAAAGAGGTATGGGAAGAGACTGATGGATTGGACCCTAATGACTTTGACCCCAAGACATTTTTCAAATTACATGGTAACAGATTTGATATAAATGTTATTAATATTTATATCTGTTTTGTGAAGAAATTATATTTGCTTTTAATTGATTTCTGCCAAGGTCTGCTTTTGAATTCTATCAATAGTAAATGTTCAGAGTTTTTCTAGGGTAATGTGATAGTCTTTATTTCACACTGATCTGCAGTGTAAAATTTTTTTGGTCAGTAGTTGTGTCTTTATGTGGGTTTTTTTCATCATTGTATGACTTACTGCAAGGTTCTTTGTGAACTGAAGGAAATTCTGTGACTAACTAGTTCTATCTGGTAGGCTTTAAAATATAATATTAAAATTTACTTTTGCTCCTTTTTTTTTTTTTTTGAGACAGAGTCTACCCATGGTAGAGTGCCATTGTGTCACAGCTTACAGCAACCTCAAACTCTTGGGCATAAGCAATTCTCTTGCCTCAGCCTCCCAAGTCGCTGGGACTACAGGCGCCCACCATAATGTGTGGCTATTTTGTTGTTGTTGTTGTTGTTGCAGTTGTTATTGTTGATTTTCACTGGCCCGTGCTGTGTTCAAACTTGCCAGCCTGGGTGCATGTAGCCGGCGCGCTACCTACTGAGCTACAGGCGCCACCTTACTTTTACTCTTATAGCATATTGTTTCACTTTATATTTTTGGAAGAAGTTGGTTATATTTTCCTTAAAAGTGATTATGAATTATAAATACAGAATTGGCATCATTTGGGCTTATCTGAAGCTTCATAAGAAAGAAGAAACCATTTTCTGCAGCATATTGATGCTTCATGTCAGTGCTAGCTTTGCAAACCATTTGTAAATAATTGTACTTTAACTGTATTAAAATCTCCATTTTGACATTTGTAATTGTTAAACTTCAGATGTCAATAGTGATGGATTTCTGGACGAACAAGAGTTGGAAGCCCTATTTACTAAAGAGGTAAATTAGTTTGTTAAATACTCAGTGTTCTTTTTCTCTCTCTCTCTTTTCCTTCTACTAACTTCTTTTCCTTCATGTTGGTTTTAAAATTTTGTTTTTAGTTGGAGAAAGTATATGACCCCAAAAATGAAGAGGATGATATGGTAGAAATGGAAGAGGAAAGGCTTAGAATGAGGGAACATGTAATGAATGAGGTATGTTTTAAAAGTTTGAAGATTATATGTTTCTTCTATGGATTATTTGATTCCTACAGTAAATCTTTCTATAGAAGGAAAATAAGTACACAGAAGAGCCATGTAATTAAATTTTACGTTTTTCATCCAGAATATTATCCCAGATTCTCTTAGTATAAATAAAATAATTTGTAACGACTTTATTCTAAAAGGTTAGGATGCTTTTTCATAGCAGTATAAAACCTTTTTTTGGTGCTGAAAAACAATGAAGTCCAATATTTGATATATTTTTTTCAATATTTGATATTTTTAAAGCCTATGTTGCTTTCACTAAAAACATCCTAAACCTCAATACTTTAATGGCTTGTAACAACAAATATTTATTTCTTGTTCACATGACATAATCTTTAAAGGTTGCCTGTAGCTAGATATGGCAGTTACCTTTCATTTTCTTAATCTATGTTGAACATGCTGTAGCCTCCACCAGTCCACTGAAACTTCTGTCAGATGACCTCTTTCTTATCAAATCCAGTGTCTTCATCTTATGTGAATCTTCAGCAGCATTCAGTGCAGTTGGATTCCTCCCTTTTTCTTGAAATGCTTTCATCACTTGGCTGACCCTGGTTTGGGGCAGGACTGGGCTTGGCTCTGTGTATCTTCTCATTCCCAGGCTGCAGGAACAACTGCGTTTTATCTTAGGAGGACCCCAAATCACACCATTTAATAGTATTTGAGAATTATGCTCACCTCTGACAAACCTCAGGTCTGCTTATATCCCTTTGGCTTAGGGATGTCCATATCAAAGCCCCAAGTCAGGGAGGAGGGGGTGTGTACCTCTCATAGGATAGGTCAGCAAGTCACGTGACACTGGGCGGGGCTGTATAATCCCATTACAGGAGGGCACAATAGTTGAGAATAATAATCCAGACTACTTCATAGTCCTAAAACTTTAATTTTATCCTTTTCAAAGCAATAACCATTTTTTCAATTTGGATTGTTCAGCAAGTTTTATTTTTCCTCTGATTTAGGTGTCCAGACAAATATAGAAAAGGCCATTTGCAGATAGACTGATGATTACCTAAGTACCTGATTTGTCTAACTACTACTAAAACATAGCCCTGTTGTGTCCTGCTGTATTGGAGCAAAGGAATGTGGCTGGAGATTAACATGGAAGCATGCTCACTGGTCTCACTCTGGTCTTAGGGGCACAAATCACTATCAGGCCCTTTGCTTGGAGATTCAGCTGTACTTCCTGGTATGTTGCCTTCTCATCCCCTGTCCCAGAGTCTTTTAGTTTCATGTACTGTCCCTTCTTATACCTTCACAACACTTCTTTTTCCTCCTTTGCCATGACCTTGCCTCTCATGGCAATTAAGAGAAGTACTTCATCCTGCCCCTAACTATATCTACCAGCCAATCTGCATCTCTCCCCATTTATTTTACCTTCCCTTCTGCTCCACTGTGCACTAGGTCTCATTTAGTATATCCTATTTGAGTTATTTTGTTTCTGCTCTTACCCCCCCCCCCAATCAGTGTTTTCCATTCTCCCAGATCATTTTCCTTCGGAGACAAGCATAATCTCGTATCTTCTACCTTAAAAAACCCCAAACCTCTAGTTACTGCCTCATTTCTCTGCGTCTCTTCACAGCAAAACCATTCCATAGAGTTGTCTGTTCTTTCTCTTCCTGATAGTCTTCACCTTTCATTTTCTTAATCTGTGCTGAACATGCTGTAGCCTCCACCAGCCCACTGAAACTTCTATCAGATGACTTCTTTCTTATCAAATCCAGCATCTTCATCTTATATGACTTCTCAGCAGCGTTCAGTGCAGTTAATGCTGCCCTCTTTCTTGAAATGCTTTTTTTACTTGCCTTTTGGAAACGACTGCCTAGTTTCTGCATACCTCAGCATTCTTTCTTCACATTGATCTCTGCTGGCTATTTCTCCTCTTCCCAAGTTCTATATGTTGCAGTGCCCTGGGTCTATCCCTTGGCCATATTCTGCTTTCCATTTTCATTCTTTCCTCAGGTGATGCTGTGGAGTCCCATGTCTTTCTTTCTTTCTTGTTTGTTTATTTAGCAGGCCCAGGCTGGATTTGAACCCACCAGCCCCAGTGCATGGGGTTGGTGCTCTAACCATTGAGTTACAGGTTCACTACCCCCGCAAATGCTCCTTAATGGCTATGCCATGTAGAGCCCCAGCCACCATGTTTTTCTTTCTTTATATATACTCAATATGCAGGTGAATTCAGAATTTTTATCTGCAGCTCTCTACTTTCCCTAAGCTCCAGGCTTGTATCTGTTTGACAGTTCCTCTTGCATATTAATATATATCTTCTGAAGATACAGCCTTGTTCCTCATGCTCAGCTTTCTTTGTTATCAGCAAGTGAATCACAGTTCATCCAGTTGCTCTAGCTAAGTCATCCTTTATTTCTCCTTTCCTCTCGTCCTATATCTAATCTATGAGATATAATATTTGATCAGTCATTCCAACAGATGCTGAATTTGATCACTTCTCCTCACTTCCACTTCTGCCAACCAGGCCGAAACCCTTCTCCTAACTGGGATCTCTGCTTCTGTTCCCTACCCCTCTGTAGTTGCTCCTCCACACAGCTGGCAGAGTAAGCACTGAAAAGCACAAATCAGGCCATAGTACTCCCTTGCTCAGAATATTTCAGTAGTTTGCCATTTCACTTAGAATATGATCCCAAATCCCTCCTCTATCCCAAAGGGCATGACATGTTTTTAACTTTGCCTTGCTCTCTGACCCCACATCCTGTGACTCACTCTACCATGGCCACCTGACTTTCTTCATGTTTGCCTCTTATCAAGCTTGTTCCTACTTTAGGGCATTTGAACTTAATGTTTCTACTTCCTGGAATGCTTCTTTAGATCATCACATGGTTTAACTTCCACCAGGTCTGTGCTTTAGAGGGACCTTCCTATTTAAAATATGTGCCTATCTCTGCAGTCCTTGCTCTGCCCCTCCTCCTTTTTTTTTTTTTTTTTTTTTTTTTTGAGACAGAGTCTCACTCTGTTGCCCTCAGTAGGGTGGTGTGATGTCGCAGCTCACAGCAACCTCAAACTCTTGGGCTTAAGCAATTCTCTTGCTTCAGCCTCCCAAGTGACTGGGACTACAGGTGCCACCACAATGCCTGGCTATTTCTTTTGTTGCAGTTCTCATTGTTTTAGCTGAGCTGGGATGGGTTCAAATCCACCAGCCTGGGTGTATGTGGCTGGTGCTCTACCCACTGAGTACGGACACCACCTGCTCTTCCCTCTAAGCGAAAAACTCTGATATAGATATCATGTGCAGGGTACCTAAAATCCACTGGTTTGCTTCAGTGATTTCATGAACATTTGAGCTGTTAATGCTCTGTTGATTGCTTGCATTGCATCCCAAGTATCAAATGAATTTCTTTGGTCATTATACATAGTAGAGGGCACCTTTTTAACTAAATTAGCCACAGCCATTAAGAGCCTTTGGGGAGGTAGTCAATTTCAGTTAGTTGTTTTTAAGAAAAGTGTTGAATGCATTTTAATTTAAACTTTTACTCTTGGCTAAAATCATCCTCTTTCTGGAATGGTTATTTTTCTTACCTGAGTACTTGGCTTCAAGAAGATTATACATATTAAGGTGAGGGAGAAAGACACCAGCAGCTTAACCAGTCAGATCAGCTAACTCAAACTTGTTGATCTTTAGGATATTACATATATCGTGCATTTTAAACTTTGAGTTATATAGAAGGGAAAGATGATCTATATTCTGATTCTAGTATAATACTGAATGTTCTAGATTTCTTTCCTCCGGTTTCTGTGGATGTTAGGTTAGTTCTAATTGCTGTATGTTTCTGTAGTCACATCTGTTACAAGGTAGTTGCTAGTGTCTGATATGAGAAAGATTATTTTATGTTACACATACATTTTCTTTTAATCAGGTTGATATAAACAAAGACCGATTGGTGACTCTTGAAGAGTTTTTGAAAGCTACAGAAAAAAAGGAATTCTTGGAGCCAGATAGCTGGGAGGTAATGGAACCAACCCTGAATGGGATATCTGATTCAAGAAATCCTATGTCAGTCTGTTCTACCCATTATGTTTGCATATATAGTCTCACTGTCTTCTTTGTTTCCTTCCCTCCTTCCTTCCTTCCTTTTTTTTTTTTTTTTGAGACAGAGTCTTACTTTGTCACCCTTGGTAAAGTGCTGTGGTGTCACAGCTCACAGCAGCCTTAATCTCTTGGGCTCAAGTGATTCTTTTGCCTCAACCTCCCAAGTAGCTGGGACTATTGGCACCCATTACAATGCTGGCTGTTTTTTTTGTTTGTTTGCTTAGCAGGTTGGGGCTGGGTTTGAACCCACCAGCCACCAAGCATGGGGCTGGCACCCTAAGCTACGGCACTGAGCTACGAGC